GCTGACAATCAATTAAAAACACCAATAACATCACAAAATTTAAAATTAATTAAAATGAAATATTTAACTTGTCTAATTTAAAATATAATTAAAAACCCCTCTACAAACCCCTCTTAAAAATTACCCTAGGCCAGTCCCGCTTGTTGGAATAGCCATGTCTTGAGGGCGCGGCGGAAGGAAGGGAGATCAGGGATCACCCGATCTCTGGGGGCAGCTCATTCCAGAGGGTGGGACATAAAATGACTTTATGTTCAAGAATGAACATGATTGTGTATTTTTATTTATTCAATATAATTTCCTAAGAAATTCAGGTGCGTCATCATTTTTTTCTCCATATGTTACTACAGTACAAACGTCTATTAATATTGTCGCCTAACACACAAAATCTATTGCTTGTGAAAACATTTGTACCACCAGTTTAACCCCTTAATCCTTTTTTTAGTAACAATATCCTTTAAAAATGGAATGCCTGACTGATGTCTTCTTGCAGTTCAAATATTTCTCAGTCCAGGTAGTAATTCCATCACTATTGGGTTGGTTCACCTATTCTGCCAAATAATTTTGTTTTGTCCTACTGTGAATGTATGAACATAGCTATTGTGATTTATAAACCAAAATTTATAGCATGTTTGGACTTTATATAATATGTAGCCGCCATAGGCAGCAGAATATTTTTTTTTTGTTTATTTCATTTATAAGGCTGTCTGCTCAACAGGCAATTCTATATTAATTAATATATGCTTTAAGGGCGACCAAATAGATATTCACAGATAATGCTAATACTAATAAAGATGCCGACATTATTACTTCTACCAATAGAGAAAATCCTGTCCACTGTTAGCCCAAAGCATCCCAAGTTTGTTAAGGGCAGCCACTGACCCTCAAACATTTGCTCACTCCTGATCTGTTTTTTAAAATATGTGAATGGAGATGTGTGGGAGTTTGTTAGATAAATGGATTGTACAAAATAAGGGATGTTAAAACCCTTGTTATAATTCCTGTTTTACCTCATCAGAAACTTTCATCTACCTGAGTTTTTTTTCCAGAATTAGAGATTGACTAAGGAGTAAAGGATGGACAATGAGGTTACAGCAGCAGAAGTGCTTTTGATCCTTGCTATTTCCTTGGTTCAAAATATCAAATGTCCAAATTTACTTTACTGTATATAGCAAAAGGGAAGACCTGGATTTCAATGAATGGAACTGTTGCCATCACATGTAATTTGGCAGTAAGAGGAGTCAGGGTTTTCCCCATCATATTTATCTCTAATTGAATGTTCAGTTGTTTGCTCAGGGAATGAAAAAGTATTTAGTTGAAATGGGAAGGAAAGGTAAACCTGTTTATTCATTTAATAAGTTATATGCCACCCACATCACCAAGGTGACTCTGGACAGTTTTCAAAGTGGCATTGCTTATTAGAAAGCAAATGTAGATACAGTACATTTAGCATCTGTTCTAAACTTACTAGAGCTCTTTTGGGGGGGAAAACACTATTTGACAGATTGCCTTTGCTATAGGTATTACAGAAATGTCTTCTGCACTATTCCAGCAAGATGTTTATATAGGTAAGGAATGCCAGAGGTGGTTTTTCTATGGAGAGTCTCAATCATCCAGGTCATGGTTGACACAAAGGTGCTTTTCTAAAGGCAACCAAGAAGCTGAAGAAACTTATTGGATGAGAAGTGAACTGTTTTCAAGGGAGGAAACCAATAAAGTCCAGTTGCCTTTTGAAAAGCACCTTTGGCACATAGGTAGTATTGTGGCTAAGTGTTTCAATATTCAATATTTTGCTAGGCAGTAGTCCTAGATTAAAGGCCATTTAAAGGTGATTTGAAATTTATTTGCTAGCATCCAGTTTTTAATTGTAGGTTCTTCTGCAATTTTTTCTTCCCTTACCCTGCCTTAAAAATATAAATAAAAGTGTGGAGTTAATAACATTTAAAGCTAATGATCACTTTTATGAGACAAGCACCATTGTAAATGTCTGCTGTGAAAGGTATAATAAAATATAAATTTCTAGAAATTGCAATGACCAACAAAAGAGGGCTGTTCCTAATCCACTCTTTGAATCACTGCTATTCCTCATCTTGATTAGTCCCAGTACTCCAGAATCAATTATTTATAATTGATTTTATCATGTCACATATATATTAATTCATATATATGTTACAAATAAATAATTCAATTAATACTATTTTCTACTATCCAAATAAAGTTGCATATGTAGTCAAGAGGAGCATTTTTTTGTTTTAAAAAAGGATCAGAATATAAAAGGTAGGCGAGTACATAAACTCTTTTTCACAGTGCTTTTTTTCTTAAAAAAAAAAAAAAGGTGCCGGAACTCACACACGTCATACAACCCGCCTTGCCTACCCTACAAGGTAGGGTGCCGGAACTCCGTTCTGGGCGTTCTATGAGAAAAAAAGCCCTGCTTTTTCATATCGGAAGGTCTACATCGGGTAGGGAACCTTGCCGCTTTTATGACTTGTGAACTTCAATACCCAGAATTCCTAAACCAGCCATGCTGTCTCAGGAATTCTGGGAGTTGAAGTCCACAAATCATAAAAGAGCCAAGTTGAAGTCCACAAGTCATAAAAGAGGCAAGGTTCCCTACCCCTGGTCTACATGAAGGAAGTACAAAATGTTGGTCATGGGCAAAGTTTGTTGCACTGCATTATCTGCCATGCTGTCAGGTTTATAATGATACAGACTACTTGGTGTGCACCTTCCCTGCACTTCATCTGCATCCACTGTACCTTTGTGGGGAACAAAACCTGGATGAAAAGCACATGAGACATCATAAGCAGATTTCTCATTCCATTTTTTCTCCTGAAAGAAAGGGAAACGGTATCTCTATTTATGTGTGCATAAGAGAGTGAGAGAGGATTATTGTGTCTCTATGTAGATTGGAGAGCAATTAACTTTACACTGAGGTGCTTTCCTTTACAATCAATTCATTTTAATCAATAAACTATTAAATATTAAAACGTTTTTTAGTCTTAGTCCTGCCCTTTTTAGAGTGGGAACTCTGAATAGCGTGCATGTGTGCATGCCCACACACATCCATAGGCATGCACATGCGTATGTACATGTGTGCCAAATGTATTTGTTACAGAAAAAAAAATTCTAAGGAAGTTTTAAGTGAGAGTTGCCAAGCCTAGGTTGTCAGACAGGGGTAGCTGGGGATTGCAGGGGACTTTTTATTTGTTTGTTTCTTTGGAATATCTTCTTTAATTCAGAATTATCTTCCTAGTTGAAACTTTTGGATACTTTTAGGTGCTGCCTGCACATATTGCACTACATTACAGATGACTAGCCTGGAGTTTACTGCAACATCAGTGATATGCCTATGACTGTCTTCTTCAGGAAAAGATATACAAAAGCATTTGTATAAAAGCACCACAACTATCTGATCAAGTTCATCTGTTCAAATGCAAACAATTTAAATGGAAGAAAAAATTGGTATAAAAACATATGGTTCAGGCATGTAAAATAAAGGCACTACAAACTCTTAACAGCTTA